ATCCCAGCTACTGAGGAGGTTGAGGCAGGAGAATTGCCTGAACCCAGGAGGCGGAGGTTGCGGTGAGCCGAGATGGCGCCATTGCACTCCAGCCTGGGTAACAAGAGTGAAACTCCGTCTCAAAAAAAAAAAAAAAAGCTTTATCCCATTAAAACAATGCATTTCTATAAAACTATGTCTTCCAGACTTCCTATATCCAGTTACTAGGTCATACAGATTTTACCTCTGCAATATCTCTTCTAACTGTTCTTTCCTTTTCAACCACCCCAATCACTGTCTTTAGTCCAATCTATAAATTGGCTCTATTAACATTTATCTTCCTCACTAGGCTACAATAGCTTCCTGTAGGGTTTTTTCCTCCAAGTCATTCTGATATTGAATTATATTCCTAGAACAAAGGTTAGAAAATGTCATTTCTGTTTTAAGATGTTCAAATGTTCCCAATGCCTAACAGAGTAAAATCCAAAGCATATATGCTATTTTATAACTATGTTATAACTATTTTATAACTGTTATAAAATTCAAAGCACATATGCTATTTTATAACTATGTTAACATCAAAATTTAAAAGAATCTAAAGAATTGTAACTATGAGATTTTACCTGTCTGTATAGTTTTCTCAGAAGTATTTGAAAAGCAGCAAAGAACACTATAAGCTTAGCACCACCATGTTAACTACTATGTTAACCATTCTTTGCCTTATATCTCTTCAAATTCCTTATACATTTTGTTTCTTATTTAATAAGTACAATATCCTCTAATAGCTAAATCTTATTCTTATATTACTCAAAATTACTAACCTTTCTTTTTTTTCTCCATTTATTTGTTTTCTCTCCCCTCTTCTTAATTTTTTCCTTAGTAGCATCTAAAAGTTTAAAAAGAATTGGAAGTTTCAGCTCTAACATTAAAAATTATTTGATTGATTACATAATTTGAAGAATTAAAATAATTAAGATACTTTAATCAACTTTATTATGCTTATTGGAAGAATCTTACAAGATACAAATAGCAGATAAAATTGTTTAATATGCCAGGCGTGGTGGTGCACGCCTATAACTCCAGCATTTTGGGAGGCCACCACAGGCAGATCACTTCAGCTCGGGAGTCTGAGACCAGCCTGGGCAACATGGCAAAACCCTGTCTCTACCAAAATACAAAAATAGCTAGGCATGGTAGAGTGCACCTGTAGTCCTGGCTACTCAGCATGCTGAGGTAGGAAGATCACTTGAGCCTAGCAGGTCAAGGCTGCAGTGAGCCAAGATCATGCCATTGCACTCCAGCCTGGGTGACAGGGTGAGGCATTCTTTCAAAAAGAAAAAAAAGAAAAAAGAAAAAAGCTTAACTATAGTTGTATCCCAGTATAAACATGTGGCATTTAGGAACCCATCCAAGGACGATACTCCCCTAGTTCCCAAAGAATCCAACCACTAGTTAATCTAGGGAGTGTAACATGTTATTAGCAGAAACTATGTGAATGCAACTATTAAGTAGTCTACCGGAAAACATAAAAAAATGAAATAAGTATTTTAATTACAAAATGGAAAAGGAGGACGGCTGCAGTGGCTCATGCCTGTAATCCCAGCACTTTGAGAGGCCGAGGCTTGTGGGTCACTTGAGGTCAGGAGTTTGAGACCAGCCTGGGGAACATCATGAAACCCCGTCTGTACTAAAAATACAAAAATTAGCCAGGCATGGCGGTGGGCGCTTGTAATCTCAGCTACTCAAGAGGCTGAGGCAGGAGAATCACTTGAACATGGGAGGCAGAGGTTGCACTAAGTTCAGATTGTGCCACTGCACTCCAGCTTGGGCAACAGAGTGAGACTCTGTCTCAAAATAAAAAAAAAAAGAAAAGAAAATAGAAAAGGAGAATGTTAGTTTGCCATCACATTAACTACTCCATACTACAAAAGACAACCATTTTCCTGACTAGAAGCAAAGTTACCTATGTGATTTTTGTATTATCCAGCTTGGGGTTGTCAGCTTCTTGAATCCTTAGTTGATGTCTTTCATCTGTTTTGGGAAACTTTAGGCATTATTTCTCTTTATATTGCTTCTTCCTCATTTGTTTTTCTTTCCTTCTTGGATTCCAATTACAATGTTAGATCTCATCACTCTGTCTCATATATCTCTCACATTTTCTTCTGTATCTTTCTTTTTTCTCCCTCCTGATCTGACTTCCAGTTTACTAATTCTGTCTTTGTGTGTGTGTGTCTAATTTACTGAAAAATCTATCTAAATTGTTAATTTCAGATAATGAATTGTTTATTCCAGAATATACCTGATTCTTTTTCACAGTTGACAAATCTCTATTTTCTTAAATATAATAATCATAACTATTTAAACTTCATTACCAGCTAACTCAACATCTGGATTACCTGTAGGGCTGTTATTCTTTTTTTTCTCTTGTTTTTCAGTCATGTAGACATATCTAGTAATTTTTTGTTAAAAGTTATATATGCTGTATTAAAAAATTCTAGAGATTCTAGATGATGTTATCCATCTCTCAAGATTATTTATCCTCCACTGGGCAAACAGAATGATGGATGATGATCTAACCCCAATTGGGGACTATGCAGAGATGGGATCACAGTTCCAATAAGGCTCAACTTACCTTGATTCATTCCTATCCCTCCTAGGTTTTCTATGGAGGGTCTGTGTTACTTGAAGCAGAAGTCAATAAAAGAAATTTATTTAATAGTATAAACCCACAACTACAAACAGAATAGGAATTAACAGCTCATCTTATTCCTGGAAGTTATAGGTTCTCCAGTAAATTAAGGGGAAAATAAAGGAAGAGGAAACCATATGATCCAGAAAATGGGTGATCACACCCAAGAGAGGTAAAGCATATATCCAGAATGAAGACAAAAGAACTGAATATCACAGTTGCTTAACAGGCCTTGAGAACAGTAAGTCCAAACAGAGTATGTTAAATGGATCTAGGAAATCCCAAATGAAATTAACTCAATACCTGATGTGTCTGAACCTTTTCAAAGGGAATTTATACTACTACTACTACTACTACATATCACAAAGACAAAAAACTAAATTTTAAAAGATAATTATTAACCGTAAGGAATAAAGAAGTTGTGCTGGAAAGGAAGCCATTATATGGTTCAGCTGTGAACTGTATAGCATCTACATAGCCATAACAAAGTATTAATTAAATTATCATAGTTACAATAATGAAATCCTATTTAGGAGGATGGGAGGAAGAAAGTGAATGTGGGGGGAAATCGCTAAATTCTTAGCTACCTTTGTTTTTAACCACTATTTCCCCCTACATTCTATCATCCATAGAGCCTAAAACTGAAAAATGTAGAAATGATTCCATAAATAAGTTATGGAATCCTATCTATCAGAGATAGATATCAAAACAGACTGCTAAAAGAGTTCGGAATGCCTGCTTCTGGTAATTGGGATTGGGTAGAATCATTTTGAAATTATCAATTAGTGGGAAGGTAGAATAATGACATGTTGAGATATGCCAAGACTCAGGAAATTTACTTCCCAGACAACATTTTGTAAAAAGATATTTGACAATGTACTCTAACAGTCAAGGCAAAATACTAAGAGAGAGGACGACATGAATCTAAGAAAACAATGGATCCAATCCAGAAAACCAGTGAGGGGGAGATCCTAGGATAACAGATATATAGAGAGCAGGCCTTCGGGGTAGAAAGTGGTCTAGATTACACTAGGCAGGCAAGAACATCTCCAGAGAAAAGAAATGAACTCTAAGTATAATTAAAAGCATGGAAAATCTTTTCATTATGGCAATTATATGATCTTTTTGTCAACAATAAAAAACAAGAGGGAGAACTGGAAACTCTAAGAAAAATAAAAATTACATGAAAGTCATGGTTCAAATATGAAGCAAAACTAAGATACAGCATGGTTTTAAGCAACCGATAGAATATAAATTATGTACTTGATGCTGTGACTAGAAACACTCTCCTTTGACAGTCCTAGAAATCATAATATTAGATCCATAAAAGGGAAATTTAATCCTTGCATACAACTTGGCACTATAGTAACATTACTTACATAGTAATAGTGATTTAAATGCTAATCATTGGTCTTAAAGATTTAAAGTCAATCTATGGACCAAAAAAAGACAATTTTTGTTGTACATACTAACTACTGAAAACTTAAAAAAAGACAATGGGGAAAAATGGAGGAAAGGATAGAGATACCAATATATTTAACTTATTTAAGAGAATAAAATAATTGACTACAGTTGATGAAACAAGAAGCAGAGTTACAAGTAGGTTACTTATTAATACCAAATTAGCCGATAGAAAAACTAATTACAACACAACTTACAAACACAGAGAAAGTAAAGGTAGGTGAGACAAAGTAACTTAAAGTGAGCTAGTCAACTGATCTTGTCTAGGGTTGAGCGTGGAGAACCTCTGTCATATTTTGATTGCTAGTAACTGATTCTTCTTCCTATGTTCAGTGAATACTCATCCACATGCCTTTCAACATCAATGCTGACAAAGCCAATCTTGCTTTCCCAGCTCCCTTTGCAGCTGGGACATATTACTTGAATTAGGAACCCATATGTTAATAGTGGTTAGCACATGCAATTCCTTTAGCTTATAATAAATATTCTCTAATTCCACTTTCTTGCCTTTGCCTGAAAATGCCTATTTATCCTCCACTTCTCAATTGAAATATCATTTCCTCTCCAAAGCCTTTCCTTGACCCCATGACATATGCATGTGAATAGCACTCATCTGCACTGTAATGAACTATTTGTTTTATTGCCTAATATATTTTTTCTTTTTAATCCCTCTTATTATCATTCCCAATATTGCTTAATAAAAGTCTCCTGCCTGAAGGGACCATGGCATGTTTGCCATTATGTTTAGCAGACAGTGGGTATGCTCAATAAATACTAGTTGGATACACAAAAATTATAATGTATGTTTAGCATTTTTTTTCTAAATCAGCTAACTTATAAATATGAAACATTTACAGGGTGATAAACACACCTTCAGTACTCGAATCTGTCTGGCTTGCTGAAGATGATGATGATGAAGAAGGAAACACACGATCATCTGAAGAAAAAGATGTCACTGATCTATGTCGGGATTGGTGATGATTTAGGTTTTGCTTTCTTTTTTTCTTTCGTTTTTGTTTATCTTAGAGAGATATAAAATGGAACACAATTATTTTCCTAAATATTAGCAACATATGAGAGAGAAACAAATACATTAACTTAAAAAATGTACCTTAAATTACCCAGAAGGCCTTAAAGCAAGCATAAACTCCTACCTTCATTTTTGCCAGCCTTGGCATCTTCAGGATTTCTGTGAGTGGACTTCTTATCCATGTCTATTTAAACCTGCCTGCCATGTCTATAAAACCAAAATATTAACAAGTTATTAGAGAATTTTAAAAGCAAAATTATATTTCTTGGGACAAAGAAAATGTAACAACCTCAGCACTACTATCATTTTGGGCTGGATTATTCTTTGTTGTGAAGGGCTTTCCTATGCATTTTAGGCTGCTGAGCCACATTTCTGGCCTCTACCCACTAAATGCCAATAGCACTTCTATGTGTGACAACCGAAAATGGTTCCAGACATTAACAACTGTCCCTTGGAGGGCAACCACTGTTGAGAACCACAATGCTTTTGAGAACAACTGGACTAAAGTAATAGTAATAGAGACAGAAGGAGAGGCTGAATTAAAGAATCAGAATGACCAGGAATTGCTGGTGGACTGGCTATGAAGGAAAGAAAGAAAGGATAACTTCTAGATATTTGGCATGATCAACTGGGTAGAAAACAGTACCCTTAACTGAGATATGCCAACACTAAGGAAGGAATATGTTTGAAATAATATTCCACTAAAATATAGAATAGAAAATCAGAAGTTTTTTTTTTTTTTTTTTTTTTTTGGCTGGAGTCCAGTGGTACTATCTCAGCTTACTGCAATCTCTGCTTCCTGGGTTCAAGTGATTCTCATGCCTCAGCCTCCTGAGTAGCTGGGATTACAAGTGCCCACCACCACACCTGGCTCATTTTTTTGTATTTTTAGCAGAGACAGGGTTTAACACTGTTGGCCAGGCTGGTCTTGAACTCCTGACCTCAAATGATCCACCCACCTCAGCCTCCCAAAGTTCTGGGATTATAGACGTGAGCTTAATTGCTTAAGTTTACAAGAGTAAACAAAAGAGAAAATAAAAACACTTTAAAACTATGAAATCTGTGGAGAAAGCAGCCAGCAGGAGTAGAGGTTGTCATAATTGAGATGAGTCCTCATCTATCACAGCAGAAACTCAGAGGACAATAAATAAATTTGACTGAGAAAAAAACAGTATAGGCATACTATTTAGAAATGTAGCAATAATCACCAAATAACTAAACATAAAAAATGTTTAAAGTGTTTGTTTCTAGGGATGTGGATCCAGAATGAGTGGAAAGCAGGTGGGACGGAGATTGTGCTTTTCATTATCAACTCTTATATACGATTGGATCTTTTAATCACATGCACATATTATATTGCTAAATGTTTTAAAAGGTTTTTTAAAAAGAGTAAATTGGGGAAGTGAGGAAATAGAAACAATAAACATATATTTTACTACGAAAGGAGAAAAATGGCATAGTGGTTGGAGGAATTACTGAGGTCGGGGTGAGTTTTTAAAATGAGATTCTAGACTATTGCCTTTATTCATAAAAAATTTTCAGAAAAATTTACTTTTAAATTTATATCTAGAGAGTGATAAAACTGCAATAGGGATAGAACAAGTTCACTTATATATACAGTATTATGAGTTTTAGTGCATACATAGATACTTATAACCACCATTATCAGGATACAGAACAATTCCAATAACCCAAGAATTTCCTCATGCTACTCTTTGGCAGTCACAGCCTCTTCCCATCTTTAAACCTGGGCAACTACTCATCTATCTGTTCACTGTCCATTTAGTCTGACCTTTTCCAGAATGTCATATAAATGAAATCGTAAGTATTTAACCATTTGATATTGGTTTCCTTCTATTAATATGACACACCTGAGATTCATCAAAGCTACTGCATGTATCAGTGTTTGTTCCCTTTATTCATTCCTATTCTACTGTGCAGATGTACCACAGTGTGTTTACACATTCACTCATTAAGGGATATTTAGTTCATGCAGTTCTTTTTGTTTAGTCTGCTAATATGGTAGACTACACTGATTTTCAAATGTCAAACCAACCTTAATTTAGGACATTTGGGGCAATTATAAATAATGCTGCTATAAACATTCATTTACAGATTTTTGTGTTAACGTAAGTTCTTATTTCCCTAGGATAAACACACAAAAGTGGAATTGCAGTGTTACATAGTAAGCGTAAGCTTAAATTCCTAAGAAACTACACAAGTGTTCATCAAAGTGGCTGTATTAATGCATGTATGAATGTTCTAGTTGCTCCATATCCATGTCAGGACTTGATGTTATTTTTGAATTTTATCCATTCTGATAACTGTTTAATATTACCTCCTGGTTTTAATTTGCATTTCCCTAATGACAAATGATGTTGAATGTATTTTCACCTGCTTATTTGCTAGCTGTATATCATCTTTGAGGAAGTGTCCAACTTTTGCCTATTTTTTAGATTATCTGGTTTCCTGTTAGGTTTTGGAAATTCTTTATATATTCGGGATATAAAAGCCTTTGGTCAAGTATGTGATTTGAAAATATTTGCTCCTAATATGGCTTGTCTTTCATTCTCTTTACAGTATCCCTTATACAGCAAAAAACATTTTTTGATGAAATTCAATTGATCTTGTTTTTCTTTATAGATAGTGCTTTTGTTGTTATCTAATAATTCTTTGCCTAACCCAATGTCACAAACATTTTCTCCTATGTTTTCTTCAAGAATCTTAGGTTTTAAAATCAGGTCATGTGAATCCTTCAGCTCTGCTCTTCATTTTCAAAACTCTTTTGCTAATTTAGTTCCTTATCCACTTTATAATCAACTAATCTATGCCTACAAAAATCCTGCTTGGACTTTGACTGTAATTAAACCCTTATCTATTTAGAGAGAACTGACATTTTAACTATACTGAATTTTCCAATCCATGAACACTAAGGGTCTTCTTTCAACAGCATTTTGTCGTTTTTAGCACAAAAATCCCACATATACTTTGTTAGATTTATACCTAAGTATTTCATTTATGAGGGAGGAGAGTGGGTCAGTTTCCAATGGTTCACTGTTAGCATAGAAATAGGACTATGTATGTTAAGCTTGTATCTTACAACCTACTAAACTGGCTTTTAAAATAGACTTCTTGAGATTTACTATATAGATAATTGTCATCTGCAAACATAATTTTATTTCTTCTTTTCCAGTCAGAATACCTCTTCTCCCATTTTTTTGACTAACAAGAATTGCTGGGATTTCCAGTAAAATATTAAATAGTAGTGGAAGAGACATCCTTGCCTAGTTCCCAATCTTGGAGGGTAGGGAGCATTCAGTCTTTCACCATTAAGTATAAGAACAGCTATGGGTTTCGTTGATGCCTTTTATTAGGTTCTCTTCTATTTCTTGTTTGCTGAGTTTTAAGAATCATGAATGAATGCTGAATTTTGTTAAGTGCTTTTTCTGCATCTATTAATAGGATCATGTAGTTTTTCTTAGTCTGTTAATACAATGGATTATACCGACTGATGTCCAAATACTGAATTCCTGGAATGAGATTTGGTCACGATGTATTATTTTTTTAATCTACTGCTGAATTCAATTTGCTACTATTTTTGGGGGAAGTCGTAACTTTGTTCATGAGAGATTTTAACTTAAAGATTTGATTTTTGTACTGTCGTCTCGTTTTGGTATCCAGAAAATGCTGCCTTCATAAAATGAGTTAAGTGTTTCTTCCTTTGCTATTTTCCAAACAGCTTGTAACAGAACTAGTATTTTTGTCCATGAATGTTTGGTGAAATTATCTGGGCCTGGAGTTTTTTTTGTTTGTTCATTTATTTTTGTTATTACTCTTTTCTTCTTTGTTTTCTTCCTGGCAAGAAGACTCTTCCCAGGGATTTTTTTTTTTTTAAACACAAATTCTATTTCTTTAATAGTTACAGGATTATTTTGTTTACCTACTTTGTCCTGGGTGAGTTTTGGTAATTATGATAGTGGCCCATTTCTCTCACATTATCAAATTTATAAGTACGGAGGTGTCTGTAGTATTGCCTCATCCTTTTTAATGTCTGTTGGGTTGGGAGTGATATTTCCTCTTAAAGCACATACGCTTTTTGGTTCTTTTTAAAATTTATACTTAAAATTTTTTTTGCTAATCATCTCTGTATCATTCCTATTTTAGTAAATGTGCTGTTGAAGCAAGCACTAGTACATATGTTATAGGAATGACTTCAATAAAATACTGAAGATGGGTTAGATCCAAGATGGCCAATTAGGGGCAGCTCAGGATTGCAGCTCCCAGTGAAAGCACAGAGGGTGAGTGGATGCCACATTTCCAGATGGATTTTTATTGCCCACAAACCAGGAGATTCACAGGCGGAGGAGCCTCACGGGTCGCCAGGATGGCTGATTTGGCTGGTGCGGCTGCTTTGCCAGCGCCCTGGGGCGGTGGTTCTCCATACAAAATTCACAGGTCTGGGCACCGTTTTACCTGGTGATTGGAGCTCCGGGAAGGCAGAGTCACCCATTCATCTGATTAAAAAGGGGACTAAAACAAGGAGCCAGGCCAGGAGACTCCCAGACCAAAAAACGCCGCGAATCTCAGCACCATTGCTTCAGATGGCTCAGTGGGTCGCTGTACAAGAAATCACACAGATTCTGGCGCCTTTTCAACAGGCAACTGGAACACCTGGGAGACAGTCGACCATTCAACTGAAAAAAAAGGCTCTGAGGCAGGGAGCCAGGTGATCAGGCTCAGCTGGTCCCACCCCCAAAAAAAACCCAGCAATTGGAAATGCTCTGGGTTGAGAGTTTCACAGCAAGCACAGCTGAACCTGGGAAGGTCCAGCTCTGTGAGGGAGGGGCGTCCACCATTACTGAGGCACTCCGTCACTATGGAGGTAGTCCGCCATTGCTGAGGTAGCCCGCCATTGCTGAGACAGCCCGCCATTGCCAAGGTAACCCGCCATTACAGAGATATTCTGCCATTACAGAGGTGGGCCAGCTTTGCCGAGGCAGTTCCAACTACACCCCTATAAACAGGACTGCAGGGAAGTTCACATGGCAGCTGGGCAGAGCCCACAGCAGCTCAGCAAAGCCTCTGCAGGCAGACAGTGACAAGGCTGCCTCCTTGCTGGGCAGGACAGCCCTGATAAAAAGGCAGCAGCACAACAGAAACTCATAAATAAAGCCCTAACTCCCCGGGGCAGAGCCCCTGGGGAAAAA